TTGTTGGTTGCCGAAGGTTGCAGGAGGGCTCCATCTAGCGAAGGCCATTTGCAACGCCCGCAGGAATCGAGGTCAGGAAGTGCCCACTTGGTGCCCAGAGGATAGGATAGAAAAAGGAATGGGAACAGGGAATAGAGAATAGAAGAGGAAGAGGAAGAGAAGAATAGGACGAGAAGAGAGAATAGGGAGAGAAGAAAAGAGAAGAGAGAATAGGAATAGGAAAAGAATAGAATAGGAATAGGAAGAGAAAAGAGGAAGAGAAGAGAGAATAGGAAGAGGAAAAGAATAAAATAGGAATAGAAGAGAGAAGAGGAAGAGAAGAGAGAATAGGAATAGAAATAGGAATAGAATAGAGAATAAGAAGAGAAGAGAATAGGAATAGAATAGAATAGGAATAGAATAGAGAATAAGAAGAGTAGGGAATGGGAATAGAATTAGAATAAAATAGAATAGAATAGAATAGCAAAGTTGGAAGGGACCTTTGAGGTCTTCTAGTCCAACCCTCTGCTCATGCAGAAAGCTTTATACCATTTCAGACAAATGGTTCTCCAATCTCTTCTGGAAAACCTCCAGTGTTGGAGCGTTCACAACTTCTGGAGTCAAGTTGTTCCACTGATTAATTGTTCTGTCACGAAATTTATCCTCAGTTCTAGGTTGTTTTTTTTCCTTGATGAGTTTTTCTCCTTGATGAGTTTTGCTTCTTGTCCTGCCTTCAGGTGCTTTGGAGAATAGGTTGAGCCCCTCTTCTCTGTGACAGCCTCTGAGATGTTGGAAGACTGCTATCATGTCTCCCCTAGTCCTTCTTTTCATTAAACATATTGTGGTAAAATGCTTGGAAATTAAATTTTCTGCCTATTTATGTTGATTAAATAATAAAGAAAAAAAGTCATGGATTTGCCCAGAAGACAGAACTTCTTAAGACAATTTGAGGTCCCAGAAAGTTATTGTGGTCCAGTTCTTGGGTAGGCTATATTTTATCACTTTATTATTGTAATCTTTTAATTATACTATAGAAGAAATGTACCTCCCTCACTGTCATTGTTCCACATATTAAAAACTAGCTGGATACCTGTGCTTCACTACGAAACTGTGTGATCGGGCTTAGTTTTGGGGGAGGAAAATAAGGGGAAAAAAATCTGCCTCTGCCTACCAGCATCCATCGGTATTCATCTGGCTAGTGTCCTGACAGTGAGAGTTAAGGGCTGTTCGGAAACTGAAACAGTATTTGCTGTGTGAGCAAGGAGACAGCAAGGAGCTTGGGCATGGCTTAACTGTTCTGTACTAAAGCTGCTTAGTGCTGTGAAACTGAAACTCCTCTGCTTGTGTTTTGCATTTGGAATAGATTTCTTTTCAGGTGGGGAGGGGGAGTAGAACTCCTTAGCATCAGAGCGTGTTAATAATAATAATATATGAAATACTAATGCTCTGATGGTCATTTCAAAAAACCCTTTCTTAGTGAGCACCTAGAAGCCCAGAGGAACATACTGTATGTACCAAATTTCAAGTTTGTAGGCTTTATGGTTCTGGATATTTTGTGATGATGAGGGAGTGGTATTTCACACACACACACATATATATCTATATCTATCTATCGATCGATCGATCGATCGATAGTTATATTTGTTTTCTTAAGTTTTCATGGGTACTTACATGAATAGCTTTGTTCGGGTATTTTCCCACGTCATTATAGTTGGGCTTTTAAAGTTGTAGCGACGTTTCGGCAGAATCTCATCTGCCATCATCAGGCTTGTGTATTGTGTTTGTCTGTGAGTCAGACTATCACAGCTGTTTCAGTTTTAAATTTGGGGCTAGCCTACTGCTGTGCCAGAATGGTTTTTTCTTCATTCTGATTGGTTGGGAGTCTTGGTCTGTGTTTATTGGTCTTGGAGTTTGCTGTGTTCTGCTTGATTGGTGTTTCTAATATCTTCTGTCTGTTTTGTGGCTTTTTTTGTGTCTTGATTGGCTGGCAACATTGTGTTCCTATATTGGAGGCTTTTAGTGCAACTTGGCTCCGAGTAAATGGATGGCTATCATTTGTTAGGAAGCTAGGTTTCATCTGGGTGCCTGGTTGGGGTGTATTTGAGCTGGAGGTATCAGGGGGGATCTGTTTGTGCCCAGGTGTTTGCCTGGCTAGTGGTGTGGAGATTTTTTTGTTTGTGAGTGCAGGCTTCCAAATAATTGACAGTCTGGTGGAATCATCTCTTCTATTCATGCTTTCAGGTCTTTTTTCAATCTCTTTCTTTCTTAAACAAACCAAGTAGGCCATTCGACAAGTTTAAAAAAGTCCTTGGGAACATCTCACCATAACTTGATTTTCACTGTGGCGAATACTTACATCAACCACAAACTACTGGTAGGTCAGTTTACTGCTTAGTGCTTTGTCAGCACCTGTCAGAATCCACAATCCAAAAAAGAAAAGATTCCCCAGAGAAAAGCAAAAATCAATCGTACATTACTCATAAAATGAGATCTGAAAGACTACATATTAGGGGCAGATCACCATGGGAAAAAATTATGTGGTCACGAAGAACCAGCACCAGTTTAATAGTGTATCAATGAAAACATGAAAAGCCCCTCCTGAAAATGGTGAGAGTTTCTGCCTGAAAGGTAGTACACACAGTAAAAGTATAGAGCCCTAAACCAGTGATTGTTTTTATTGTGGTGTGCTGAAAACGCACGTGTGCCAACACCCACAATGCAAGGCGCCCTGCCCTTCTGCGTGTGCAACATTCCCCCTTAGCTGCACTGCGCATGCCTCCCAGCTGATTTTCAGCCCGTTTGAGGCCGTTTTCCCTGCCTCCCGGGGGCTCAAGGGAAGCCTCTGCAAACCTTTGGAGGCCAAAAAATGGGCCCATTTTGATACTTTCGGTTTTGGCACTTCCGGTATTTCCAGAAGGCCTGTTTTTCGGCCTCCAAAGGCTGCAGAGACTTCTCTCGAGCCCTCAGGAGGATGAAAAAGGCCTCAAACAGGCCGAAAATCATGTGGGAGGCTTGCATGTGCAATGCAGGTAAGTTTGGCTGGGGCTTGCGTGCCCACACAAATGGCTCTGCATGTCACCTGTGGCACACGTGCCAGCGGTTCACTATCATGGCCCTAGACTATATATAGATTCTTTCTTCATAACTTTTAGGGAACAAAACTGAGTTCCTAAGCAGTCTGACTGAATTAGATTATCAACACTGTGAACACGTAACAATCATTTGAAGAGTTTTATAGAAAAATCCATCTGTAATACACAAGCAAGAACAAATTACAAATGAACCATGTAAAACATAATTAAAGGTAAGCTGATCTCAGCAATGGTTGATTGTATTCAATTTTTTTAGCAACCTGGAAATCCTTCTGCCGACAACACTAGAATTTCTTCCAGGCCCACCAAGAATTAATAACCAGGATGGAATATGGTTAGTTTCAAAGAACATTCGAAGTTCACCAAGTGCTAATGAAGTAGTAATAAGTAACACCTTTACAAATGCAATCAGTAATATTGAACGTTCCCATCGCACCTACCTTTAATATTTGTAGCAAAATTCAACCATCATTCCACATAATCCACCAAGTTGTTATTTTTTAATTCTTTAGGACCCTTTCATTTAATTTTGACAAATGAAAGATAAATAAAAGGAAGTTAAAATTAAACTGTGTTCTGGATCCATTCAGTTTCTAAAGTCAACTTCACCATCAAAGACCAGATATAGTTCAAGGTATCAAAAATTAGTAGATGTTTGTAGTATGCAGTTTCCTCCTGTTTTTTTTGTTTTTGAGGTCATGCAAAATTAACATTCACCTGAAGCACTTCCCATACTTTAGAACTTATTTTCCGTGTGGTTTCATTTATGGGAAATTAGGTTACTACAATGAACAAAGTTCTATTCAGTCTCCGTAACTTGTGTGGTTTCTTTCCTTTTGGCCTTTATTTTCATATATACAGATAGTCCTCGACTTATCACCACCATTAGGATCAGAATTTCCATTGCTAAGCAAAGCGGTTGTTAAGTGAGTTGCACCTGATTTTACACCTTTTGCCACAAATCGGTGCAGCTGTTGAATGAATCATATCATCATTAAGAGAACCTTGATTTCCCCATTGACTTTGCTTGTCAGAAGCCAGTTGAGAAGGTCACAAATGATAATCACATGACTCCGGAACACCGCAACTATCATAAATACATATTTCGTTGCCTACCCCCAAATTTTGATCACATGATCATGCAGATACTGTAATAGTTATAAGTGCGAGATCTGGTTTTAAGCCAGTTTTTTCAGTGCTGTGATACTTCGGACAGTCACTAAACAAATAGTTGTACGCTGAGGACTGCCTATAAAGTAATCTGTTAATACTGAAGCACGTTCCACATTAACTGCATCTATTCGGGTTCTCCCCTCTGTGGATCCTTCTTGCAGGCATTAAGATTACTCCTCTGAAGCTTTTTCCACATTCCAGACATTTAAGACATCTTTCCTGTGTGGATCTTTTTATGGGAAATAAGAGAAATGTCACTAGCATGATGGCTAGAAGTGAAGATGCTTGCCTCCCTCGCAGAAGGCTGAAGAGTTCAACCCTAGGTAGTGGCAGATGTTTCTCTATCAGGGTGCAAAGAGAAAATATCTGCTGTAAACTCCATGTAGACGTCAGGAAGGGCATCTGGCCAGTTCAGTCCAGTCCAGTCCAAAAAAAGGGATTACAGGATTGTAAAAAGAAAAAAAGAGAGACATATTTTCACTGAATTTCCCCCTCATATTCAGTGAATTTATACAGCATTTCCTTTGTATGAATTCTTTGTGGTGATTAACATCCATACCTCAGGACAGACTTGAACGGAGAAAATCCAAGCATGTGGCTGCTAAGAGCTGTCACACTTCACTGCTTATTAGTTTCCTTTATTAATTATTAAAATTTTAAAATATATTCTCGTTTATTAGTAATTAGTCAACATAATCAATGGGAAGCTCGTCCCCAGACTGTCTATATTCAAATGGCTCTTCTATTCTTTCACGCGACGTAAGGCGTCGGCTGTTATGGAAGCTTTTACCACACCTGGTAGACTTGTACGGAACTTCTTTTCTATGTGTTCTGTCATGTCGAGTTAGATCAGCGATCCGCTTGAAGCTCTTTCCACATTCCACGCATACATACGGTCTTTCTCCTGTATGGATCTTTTTATGAAATTTAAGAGAACTCTTCGTACTGAAGCTCTTTCCACATTCCGTGCACTGAAATGGTTTCTCTCCTGTGTGGATTCTTTTATGGGAAGTAAGGTGACTACTCAAGGTGAAGTTCTTGCCACATTCCGTGCATTTGTAAGGTTTCTCCCCGGTGTGGATCCTTTTGTGCACAAGAAGGGAACTAGAATCAGCAAAGCTCTTTCCACACTCGGTGCATTTATACGGTTTCTCCCCCGAGTGAAGCCGTTTGTGGTAAGTAAGGTGACTATTTTGAGTAAAGCTCTTTCCACATTGCAAGCATTTATAAGGCTTCTCTCCTGTGTGGATCCTTTTATGGGAAGTAAGGTGACTACTCTGCGTAAAGCTCTTACCACATTCCATGCATTTAAATGGCTTCTCCCCTGTGTGGATTCTTTCGTGTGCAATAATTTTACTGTACTTGCTGAAGCTTTTCCTGCATACTTTGCATTTAAATGGTTTCTTTCCCAGGTAATCTTGTTGATGCAAAGTAAAAGAGCAAAACCTCCTGTACTTTCCCCCATCATCTTTCCATTCGCATTGTTCGCTTAAATCGGATTGATCTTCAAATATTTTCTGAAAATCTAAACACTGTCGCCTTCTCTCTGTTTTAATATCTTTGGGGGTCGGGAAGTCATAGATTTTAGGACACGAATGGGTATTTTTATGCCTCCGAATGTTTACTTGAATTTCCTCTGGATTTTTTGAGGGACACTGATCCTGAAATGTCCCTTCTCCCACTTCAACCTTGATGACTCGCAATGGCTCTGTCTCTGTTTCCTGTTTGTTCTTCCGCTCGTTACCTATTTGGGAGAAAAAGAACGAATCAAGACAAAATATTCCAAATTATCATTACATTGTGTTAAAGAAGTACAGCGGTAGCTTGGTATTCCTTGTTAATTGGTTCCAGGAGGCATGATGAATACAAAAAAACGAGTACCAAACAAAATTTTCCCGTAAGGAATAATGTAGTGAGTCACAAGACCGCCGACACTGACAAGTTCTAGGTAGTGTGTTGAGTACCAAGCCAATGATGACCACCAGGACAAATGTTTTGTATCAAAATTCATTTGAGTACCAAATTCAACCAGTTTCAAAGCAGTTGAGTATCAAGGTACTACTGTACTTCTTTCTAGCACTTAATCTTTTAGGGACATGTTCACGGCCTTAAAAAATTACAACAAACCCCTTGAATTGCACTTAGAAAGTAACTTGTATCCAGTGCAGCTTCTTAGCATATTAATTATAATGCAGTCGCATGTTTGAACCTAAGGCTTTTGGTTGGTCTTCAAGGACAGCTGCATGTAGAGTGAGTTGCAGCAATCTAGCTAAGAAATGACAATAGCATGAGCCATTCACAGAACCCTTATTTTCCCTAAAAGGCTGCAACAGTCACACCTGCTGAAGCTAGGCAAATACCTACATGGCATCTGTTGCCACTGCTGTCAAATTGCAGGTCATTCTATTGTTTTGTGGAGCACAATCCCACCTGCAATCACAATGTGAATTATTCCAGAAGTTTCCATGGAGATTCTCAATCATCCAGGTCACGATTGCTCCAAAGGTGCTTTTCCAAAAGGCAACTGGATTTTCCTGTTTTTCCCCTTGAAAACATTTGGCTTCTCATCCAAGAAGCTTCTTCAGAACTTGGGTGAGAAGCGAAATGTTTTCAAGAAAAAACCAAGGGAGTCCCAATTGTCTTTTGGAAAAGCACTTTGGGGACAATCATTTTAGAACTTGCTGATTTCTAGTTTGGTATAATTCTATCTTTCTTGAGTGTGCTCCTATTTTAGTCCACCCAGATGTTGGCAGCCTCCAGACAGCATGTCAAGACCCCTGCAATGCACCACTTTCCGTCCAGCCCAATATGCAATGTGTATATCTGGACATTATGTCTACTAAAGGAATTTAGGAATGACCTGAGATTAAAGCAAGTGTGAAAAAGGAATGCAAAATAAACCTGCCTTAACTTTGTTTAGGAGGAGAGGGCACAAACAGAAACTTTCAAGTTTCTGTTCCTACATTGCACAATAAAACAGAATTTGTGAAATTCCCACAGGATCTGTTTTTTGATCTGGTCTACCAAGAAGGTCAGAAAACTACAAATAATTAGGTTCCGTCCAACAAGAAAATACCTAACCCAACTATTTGAACAGAAAGCAAAGAAACTCTTACTCAGAAAAGCCACATTCCTACAAGTCTCCAACATGATTTCTTCATGCAGAGCTTTCTGATCAGGGTCTAGCAGAGCCCACTCCTCCTTGGTGAAATAGATGGCCACCTCCTTGAAGGATATGGAATCCTGAAAGAGGAATAAATAAATTCTTTATTAACAGACAGACTGAGAAGTCTTTCAAGATCTCTAAGAAATCTCCAGAGCAGAAACTTGCAATAAAATAAACATATTTTTTTTCTGACAAGTTTCAGAATTAAGGATATTACTGGACATAGCTCACGTCCACTGGCTGAAATCACACTGGAGATAAAGGCTGATTAATATTTCCACAGGATTTGATCGATTAATGCATGAATAAAATATCATTCCAGATTTTCCCCATCCTGAGCTGTTTCTTACATCCACCAGAGCTGCTCCTATTCCAGAAGGTGGCTGGATGGCAGCTGATCAAGTGAACTTCATTCATACAGTGCTATTGGTCAGGAAAAGGACTGATTCTAGATTAGAAATACAGTTTTAGCAGTTGAAGGAATGCATTTTAATTCAATCACGTATGCAGTTCCGAGGAGGGGGAAAATTTTCTTCCTACCTGAGCTGGAAGGATAGTCCTTGTTTCCACTCCATCAGCAAGAGATGCTTGATTTCCTAGTGAGAGCGGATTCATTGTTTTGTTCTCTGTGGGGAGGACAAAGATGAAAGAAATTGACATTTTTAAAGAATATACTTAATACAGTATATTCTGGGGGAATCTAAATAATTTGTGCCAAGAGGAGCAAAGTTCGGTTGCAAAAGAAGCTCATGAATGGAAGTGCAGATAGTCCTTGACTTACAACCACAACCGAGCCCATAATTTCCGTTGCTAAGCAAGAAACTTGCTAAGTGAATTTTATCCCATTTTATGGCTTTTCTTGCCACAGTTGTTAAGCGAATAACTGAAGTGGTTAAGTTAGTAACACAGTTGGTTAAGTGAATCTGGCTTTTCCTCTGACTTTGTCAGAAGTCGCAAAAGGTGATCACATGACTCTAGGACATTGCAACCATCATAAACATGAACCAGTTGCCAAGCATCCGAATTCAAATCACGAGACCAGAGGGATACTACAATGGTCATAAGTATGAAAAAGTCACATTTTTCATCGTAATTTCAACGATCACTAAATGAATGGTTGTAAGTTGAGGATTACCTGTAGTTTGGAGAGCTCTTGATCATTTTTTGCCGTTAGAATAAATTATTCCTTACCTGGTGGTCTGTCCCGAACTGGATCCTTTTGGGAGACGTCTCCTAAGAATGGATCCCTAGAAGGTATGAACAGATTCCCACTTCCTTCACAGCATTCAGTGACCAAATTAAGACAGGACGTCTTCGCTTGCAACTGTAGACATCAGAAGGGAATGGGTTTAACGTAAATTGGACAAATATATTTCCAACTTCCCTCTCACCTCCCCTTCTGCTCCAGGTTCATCTGTGGGAGAAGAGCTTGGGTTTCTCCCAACTCCTGCGAAATGTTCAGAAAAGGCAACCAATACTTTAAGAAGTTATACTCCTTCCTTATACATATAATTAATAACAGAAAGGACTGAGAAACTTAAGCTCCCATCTAATTTGGGCAATAAGAGCAAGATCCCTCCATTTTAAGGCTGGCCTGAGTCAAGACTATTATATGGCCAGCCCCAAAATGGTTTGAAATAACTGTATACTTAAATTTTGAGATTTTTATTATCACTCTCTTGGGACAATCCGACCTTTGTCTCTTCCTGCTTCTTCTCCTCCAATTGGCTCAGAAGAAAGCTTTCTGCCAGAGCTACTGCCTGAGAACTAGTCTCCACTCCACATTCCTTGACCCAGTTCTTGATCTCTGGGGGCAGGATAGATAAGAGTTGCTCCAGGATCACCATGTCCAGTATCCGAGACTTTGAATTTCTCTCTGGCTGCAGCCACTGGGAACAAAGATAATGAAGGTGGCTGCATATTTCTCGGGGGCCCTTAATCTCCTGGTAGCAGAACTCTCTAAACATTTGTCGCTGGATGTCAGTGCTTATTTTTTCTTCATCTGGGATCTTCTGTTTGGGTGTTTCCCAAATGTTCAGACTGGTCTCCCTCGGAAGGAGAGGGCCTACGGCTGTTCCCTCACATTCTGATGTTTTTCTATCCATTTTCCACCTATGCTCAATCGAAATTCCCAATGGGTAAAGGGACTCCAAACCTTCTTCCATCTATAGAATCAAAATGTCTGAAAAGGTCCAGTGAGGAATCCAAACAGACCGGTGAGCTCTCTTTGGCGACAAGTTTTTGTTTCTATGGAACGGTTTGCAGATAAAACAGCATACATCCAGCTCCCAATCTATGATCAAAAAGAAAAAGAGTATTAATATATGACATATATTATATCCTAGCCCCAATTTTTTTTTCTAATAATGTTTCAACCAGAGTTAATGTTTTGGGGAGACCATCAGCAATCAAAGGGCTTTTTAGATGGGGGACTGGACTCTATTTCTCCTAAATGGAACTCTCTCATTGCAAGCAAATCTTTGCTCCGAGAATCCTTGAGAGATTTGAGTACAAGATAATTTTATCGGCTGGGAAGCCAAAAAAAGATTGGACAATCATTTGTCTTAAATGGTATGCGGCTTCTTGCTTGAGCAGGAGACTGTATTAGAAGACTTCTGAGGTCCCTTCCTGCTATTCTCTTGGCAGAGCTCTACACTGACCTCTGAGGGATTTTTCTTAGTTAATTTTGCATCGTTTACAGTACAGTAGTCTATAGCAGCTCTACACCGCAGGAGGAAGGGACCAAAGTTGTCATTTAAAAAGTAATTAAAAGCAGATCCTCCAACAGCTTCACGTAGTTTTACAAAAAGATCTATACTTTTATTAACAAACCCATAGGGTTTGTTGAAACTTTCTGAGATCACCTGAAACCTCTTGATACATAAATTCAGCTTTCACTTCTGTAGATTCTGTAGACAATGGATTGCTTTTGCTCTCTCCTGAGATGCGACAAATTGCCCGTTTCCCTGCCCGCATCCCTTGAAAGGGGAAGCAATCAGGAATATATAAATATATAAACGGGGGAAGCACGACCCACCCGTTTCCCCAGCCACTGCGATCTAGGCAGTGGAAACTTTATTCCAACCGCGGAGCCTCATCGGAACATCCGCTTCTTGTGATGAAGCAACGCAGATATTGCCGCTGAGCGCTCAGAAGGCGCTTCCAGCCTCACCAAATCTCCATGTTTCTGCGAGGAATGCCCGAATCTTTGCTTCCCGGAAGTGTGGGTGGATGATGACTTTTTTTCCTAGAGAGTCCAGACACTCACTTCCTGTCGACCTACTCAGCCGCGAATGCAGATAAATCTGTCTGATCGTCTCCAGGACCGGATTGAGTTCGGTTCCCTCCGGATGGAAAGCGAAAGTTGCCCTTTCGTTACCACTGGAGAAAAAATGCAGGGGAAAAGTTGGACGAGAAAGCCCGGGAAAAAGCCGGGACGATGAAAAAATAAAAATAAAAAAAATGTAGTTGGGCTCCGCGGTTGCCAAGTGAATCCCAAGATCCGGGACCCCAACAGTTGGCCGAATCGGTGCCCTCACCCCCGAAATTTGATCAATTATTGTTCGGAAAGGCTTGGAGAAAATATTCTGTTTTCTTCACGTGGAGCATCCGAAAAAAAATCTAAGTTGAGGACCGCCTCCTTCGCTGGGTGGGAAGATGCAGGGAACTCAATACCTTGACTTACAATAGTTCATTTAGTGACCGTTCAAAGTTACAATGGCACTGAAAAAAAATGGCTTTTATAGATTACAGATTATTAATAGAGTTGGAAGGGACTTTGTAGGTCTCTAGTCCAACCTCTGCCCAAGCAGGAGACTCTACTACACCATTTTTATAATTACAGATTAATAGAGATGGAAGGGACCTTGTAGGTTATCTAGTCCAGTGGTTGTCAACCGATGGGCCGCAGCCCACTGGCGGGCCGTGAGAAAATTTTGGTGGGCCGCAGAGCATCTCACCCACAGGGTACTCACCCACAAAGCAATTAAACCAGGCTGTGCAGAAACACAAGGCTGTGCTGCCCACATGGCGCACGGGAACCCTCCCCGCCCACTCACTCCTTACCCTGCAAACTTGCCTGCTAAATTGGTATTTTTCCTTTTTCTGGCCATCTTCTATTCTGCTGTGCCAGAAGATTAAGATTAGCTTAGGAAGCAGGAAATGGTTGGATTTCTTGCTTTCTAGCTAGTCTTTAGATCTTCGGCTCTGCTTTTAAGCACAGCTGAACCTCCCTTAGGACTGAAGGTTATATTATTCAGTGCAGACTCACAGCAAGCAAATTTGAGAGATTGATCTTGCCAATGGCAGGTAGATCACTGAATGATTCTGTGAGCAACTCAATCTGCCTGCCTGCTTTGCCTGACTTTGGGTAAAAGTTGCTCTTTTTTTTAAATACAAAAATCAATATTTACATACATGGTGTGTTGTGAGTTAATTTTGTGAGTTTGCAATCAATGGCTGAACCCAGAAAAACATACAAAAGCCCAGATGCTGGATTTGGTAGTCCTGGAGCAGTTCCTGGCCATTCTGCCTCTGCAGATGGAACATTGGTTGTGGGAATGTGGAGCCGAAACCAGTTCCCAGGCAGTGGCTCTGGCTGAAGGCTTCCTCCTGAGTCAGGCGGAGGAGAAGGAGCAAGGAGAGGTGCAGATCTAGTTGTTTACAAGTGATGGAATAATGCCAGTGTGGAATATTCGAGGCATTTTTATATTTCCACCCACAAATATTTTTTAAAATAGATGGTTCTGTGTTCCCACATGTGGTACTTCTAACATCTTTCTTTGCTTTTTTTCACAGTTGCAGATAGAGGCGCTCCTTCAGGAATTGATGGCTGAGCATCCTAAGGCAAGATGTGATCCGTTAAATCCTTGTCAGGAGAATTTCATTGGAGGAATTTCTCCAAAGGATCTGAATCCAGACATGCCACCAGGTAAGGGAGGGATGCCTTCTGCACTGAAGTTCTTAAGAGCATCCAGAGGGTTTTATTCCTAATCTTTTAAAATAAACTCATGGGCCTGTGTGCTACAATAGCATTTATTTCTAGTTTTTCCCTGAACGTCTAAAGCATTCTTTTTAAAAGTCTATTTCCTCCCATCTTTCAGGGGCAGAGAACAGAGACATATCTCAGCTGATAGGAGAAACATCTCCTCTTTCCGATAATGCAGAAGCAGCTGTTGGCTTTCCAGGGCAGATAGGAGGAAAATTTCCTGTGCCCCCCTCACCCCCAAATGCAAATATGGTTAAGGCAAGAAGCGTCCTGGCTATCTCCCACCTCCATTTCAACCTTTGTTCCAACATGGGACTCTTTCCATCTCAGCAGGTCCATGTGGCTTGTTCTTTTCTTACCTCTTGAAATATTTGATTAATTTATCAAAATATAAAATAACAAAATACACAAAAAGAAGAAAATAAAGGGAAGATAAGGAAGGAAAAGGGGAAGAGAAAAAAGTGTAGGGGAAGAGGGGAGAGAGAAAAGTATTGACTTCTGACTCCTTTGGGTGCAGTAGAATAAGGTAGTAACGTAAAACTTCAACTTTTTACATGCATGTATGTGTCTGTCTGTCTGTCTGTCTCTCTCTCTCTCTCTCTCTCTCTCTCTCTCTCTATCTATCTATCTCTATTATCTATCTATCTATCTACCTATCTATCTATCTATCTATCTATCTATCTATCTCTATCTATATCCATATATAACTTTTAATATATATTTATGTGTGTGTGTGTGGATAGATAGATAGATAGATTGATTGATTAGCCATTTATATAACAACAATTCTTTCTAATCAGCAAAACTTAAAATCAAAGTTTCATTCCCTCCCCCAAGAACAAGTACAAAAGCGGTTTCCAAGTGGAAACAAAGTGAATTGTGTTGTTTTCTTTAATCAAAGCAAGTGAATTTAGCCACTTCTGTTAACTCCATCAACTTTTGCAGCCGTTTGTCCATTGTGAGGGCTTATCCTTTTCTTGATCAGCTCCCTTACAATGAAAAGATAGAGCTGGAGCAGCTCTGAGGGATGGAAGGCAAAGCTGGAACTGATGCATCCAGAACAAATCTGTGGTCTAGGCCTCCACGGGCATTGAATCCAGGGACATGCAATAAAGTTAATCAGCCTTTCGGACCCTGGGGGTGTCAAGAGAGGATGGACAAGGAAACCTTTCCTTTTACTCCCTCAAATTCTGAAAACAGCCAGGAAAAGGTTTATGAATGTCACTGCTTCACGGGTCTTGTGAGAGAAATTTATTTTTCCCAGCTTTCCTATTAGTAAGAAATTTTTTGCTTCTCTTTCAGGGTTCCATATCCTTCAAGGAGTTGTCCGTTTGCTTCACTGAGGAGGAGTGGGATCTGCTAGATTCTGATCAGAAAGCTCTGCATGGGGAGATCATGCTGGAGATGTCTAGGAATGTAGCTTCTCTGGGTAAATAATTCCTCTTTGTAATTTGTCCAGATAGAGGTAGTCCTCGGCTTGAAACAATTCATTTAGTGACTGTTCAAAGTTATAATAAACCACGGTGGCACAGTGGTTAGAGTGCAGTACTGCAGGCTGCTTCTGCTGACTGCCGGCTGCCTGCAATTTGGCAGTTCAGATCTCACTAGGCTCAAGGTTAACTCGGCCTCCCATCCTTCCGAGGTGGGTAAATATGCTGACTCTGTAAATCTCTTAGAGAGGGTTGTAAAAGCACTGTGAAGCAGTATACAAGTCTAAGTGCTATTGCTATTGCGGCACTGAAAAAGATGACTTATGAGTTTTTCACACTTTAAGACCACTGCAGCATCCCCACAGTCATGTGATTAAAATTCACATGATTCTGAAGTGGCAACTGGCTCATATTCAGTTGCAGTGTCCTGGGGTCACGTGATCACCTTATGTGACCCGATAAGCAAAATCAATGGGAAAACCAGATTCGCTTAACTATGTTGCTAACTTAACAACTGCAGTGATTCACTTAACAAGGGTGGCAAGAAAGATAGTAAAATGGGGCAGAACTCATTTTACAAATGTCTCACTTGGCAACAGAAATATTGGGCTCAATTGTGGTTGTAAGTTGGGGATTACCTATAGCTCAATATGGCAACTAGTTAGAAGGAATATATTTTGTTTCTTCCATGATATTCCCTAACCAGTAGATCAGTGATGGCTAACCTTTTCCTTGTCGCGTGCCGGAAATTTGTGTGCCTTCACCCATAATGCAATGTGCATGCGTGCCCCTGCACATGCATGTACGATTCCCTGTATGCGTGCTGCGCGCTTTTGCGCATGCATGAGATCCCCCACAAGCCCTTTGCGCACGCCTCTTCCCTGCAATTGCGTGGCACATACCTGACAATCACCTGTCTGGCGGAGGCGCACATGCGCATGCATAGTGAGGCTATTCCGGGTGACTTGTCTGCATGCCACCTTCAGCATCGTGCTATAGGTTCGCCACCACAGCAGTAGATCATCTTGGCTGTTAAAATCTTTTAGTGGAATTTTAGATAAAAATCTCTACTGACATTAGGAAAGGGATCCTAGGAGTTTACTCCAAAAAATAAATGCCAATTTACTCTGAGGGTTGTGAACAAAAATTAAAAACCATGTCTGAAATTATATGGATTTTAAAGAAAAAAGTCAATAGGAAATGGCTCTTACAGAACTGTGTCATCTGATGGAATGTAAAATCAAGTAATTTGATTTTAAAACTTGAACAATATCATAAAGCTGGATTGGAGCCAGAAGGAAGAGACCAAACTGATTGGAGAAGAGAGAAGTTGCTCTGTTGGAAAGACGATAGTTATTTGAATTATTTAACTTGGAGCAAAGTTGGTCAGGGGACATATGTCATAAAATCATGCATTGCATAGAACCAGTGAATAAAAAAATAGTTTCTTGCTCATTAACACTATTATGGATCTCTCCGTTAAAATGAAATGTAGGATACTTAGGAGAATACAGACTAAAAGTTGGAAGGGACCTCAGATATTCTAGTCCAACCCCCTGCTCTGGCAGGAGACCCTATACCATTTCAGAAAATGGTTGTTCAATTTTGTTCTTAAAAACCCCCACTATGGGAGCGCCCACAACTTCTGGAGGCAAGTCGTTCCACTGATCAATTGTTCCAACTATCAGGAAATTTATCCTTAGTTCTAGGTTGCTTCTCTTCTTCTTTAATTTCCATCCATTGCTTCTTGTCCTGCCTTGAGGAGCCTTGGAGAATAGGTTGACCTCCTCTTCTTTCTGGCAGCCCCTCAAATACTGGAAGATTGCTAGTCCTTTTTTTAATTAAGGTAAATATAATACCTAGACATAAACTAGAAAAAAGGAATGATTTCAATAGATGTTGAGGTATTCCCCATTTGAAGAATGAGTGCACTCAGGGAAGCGTAGTGAGAGTAATGTTGAATAACACACGACCAGCGTACAGATACACTGAATAGTAAAATGTAGGTTTTACTTCTAGTAAATGGGTAAACAAAGTCCAACGAACAGTCCAAATCATACACAGTTAAAGCGGTTATTATCAGTCCAGAGATAATCCAAAAACGAAGTCAAGTATCATAAACAGAGTTCAGTAAACGGGGTTTGCTAACAGTTGCAAAAACTCACAGCAATCCAAGTAGAAGGACGATCAGACAATAGGGCAAAACAGGAAATGCAAGGAGAAAGAAACCAGGTTTCTGGCTCCATCTTATGGCCGTTGGAGGAACTTCAGCCAATCACAATTACAGCATTCTCTTAAAAGATACAGTATTAAATTACTATCATGGTTTATATATTTCCAACCCAACTGTTAGGTGACTATCATTCCTAGCAGATGGCTTAACTGTATTTCCCCCCCACTGTTTCTTTCTCTCTCAAGCAGGCAATGAACGGAAGAATGAGATTTATCAGCAATCAGAAGAGATACCAATACAGATTCTAAAAGTTGAAGTGGGAGAAAAGAATCAATGGCAAACAAAAAGTGAAGACGGAATCCAGCTAAATGATCCACGGGGGAAAAATCCTCCTTTTTCTCTGGAAATCTATGATTTGCTGGCCCAAGAAGATCTTAATGGAGAGGGGATGGGACGGTGATGAAGTATTTGAAGAACAATCAAACTTCAGTAACCCATGTGAATGGAGACAGGAAGGGAACAGGTATAATCAGAACTGCCCTCCTCATTGGAGTGATGAGATGGGGGGAAAAGCATTTGAATGTAAGGACTATGAAAACAACTTCAACTACTCCGGTAACCTTGTTTCCCATCCAAAGAAACCCACTGGCGAGAATCCATACAAATGTATAGTGAGTGGAAAGAGCTTCACAAGGAACGATAAACTTACTGCCCATGTAAGAAATCGTACAGGGGAAAAACCATATAAATGCATGGAGTGTGGAAAGAGCTTCACGAGGAAGGACATGCTTATTTCCCATAAAAGGATCCACATGAAAGAGAAACCATACAAATGCAAGGAATGTGGAAAGAGCTACAGTCACTCCAAAAGCCTTATATCTCATGAAATTATCCACAAAGGGGAGAAATCATATAAATGCATAGAATGTGGAAAGAGTTTTAGCCAGGGCAATAGCCCTGTCTATCATAAAAGGATCCACACTGGGAAGAAGCCGTATCAGTGTATGGAGTGTGGAAAAAGTTTCACAAGGAAT